ACTCATGTTTGATGCAGAAGTAAAAATCAACATTAATATACTTTAACATTCCAACCTGAAAAAATATACATCGCTAAAGAGTTTATCACTTTCCCCTTCCTCCAGCGTAGTCGCTGCTTTTTAATAGTTTTAATTAATTGCAAATGTTTTTTTTGTAAATTTTTAACATCGTCTAAACTTGCGAATCTTTCAGGTATTAAATTTGAGGTGCCCGGCTGTAGCACTAAACGACATAAGAACAGATGACTAATTTTCGGCCTGAAATTTATAATTTAACAAACATTTTTTACTTATCCAGAGTATAAACATACTTATAAATACATTTAAATCGTTTACTTTAATCATAACTATCAGAATGTGAATATAGTTTCAACCAGCACAACAAAACTGAACTCAATCACCCATTGTGTCTTTAACATTAGGAAAATATTTGACCTTTATCCATAGCTGCTAATGTTATCCGTGTCTTTTATTCATTTGTACTACTAGTGTAATTTACTCACTGTGGTCATTTCAGAAATATGCTTTGCACAGACTTAATATCTGACCGGTAATGTACTCTGTTGAATATCTTTTAACAGAACTTTATTTGCTTTGATTTCAGAAGAATTAGAGGCCTGAAGAAGATGATGAACTAGTGGAGTAAAAGTAAACTAGTAAAAGAAGAGGCAAGATTTTTTCGCCTGCACTCAGTGTGGAAAGAGATTGATTTGGATGCAAAGCAGCCGTAAAATTCTCAAGATGGTCCGCACTGGAGAGAAACCATTTACATGCACCCAGTGTGGTAAGAGTTTCACACGATCATCACACCTTAATAGACACATGATGATCCACACCGGAGAGAGACCGTTCACCTGTACCCAGTGTGGAAAGAGTTTCGGAGAATCATTATCCTTTAATAGACACATGTTGATCCACACTGGAGAGAAACCATTCACATGTACCCAGTGTGGGAAGAGTTTTACACAATCATCATCCCTTAATAGACATATGATGATCCACACCGGAGAGAAACCATACACGTGTACCCAGTGTGGGAAGAGTTTTACACAATCATCAACCTTTAATAGACATAATATGATCCACACTGGAGAGAAACCATACACATGTACCCAGTGTGGGAAGAGTTTTAGACGATTTTCATTATTTAATCTACACATGTTGATCCACACCGGAGAGAAACCATTTACATGTACCCAATGTGGTAAGAGTTTCAGACGATTATCAAACCTTAATCAACACATGTTTATCCACACTGAAGAGAGACCATTCACATGTACCCAGTGTGGAAAGAGTTTTAAAGACTCCTCATCACTAAATAAACATGCGCTGATCCACACTGGAGAGAGACCATTCACATGTACTCAGTGTGGAAAGAGTTTTAGAGACTCCTCATCACTAAATAAACATGCGTTGATCCACACTGGAGAGAAGCCACACAAGTGTGATCAATGCGGTAAAACATTTGCAAGGGGTTCACTTCTGAAGAACCACCTAAGAGTTCATACAAAGGAGAAACCGTATTCATGTTCTGTGTGTGGAAAGGGTTTTACATGGCAGTCAAGTATAATAACCCATCAGAAGATCCACACTGGTGTGAGAGAGTATTACTGCTTTGAGTGTGGGAAGACTTTTGTTACAGCTGATCAGTTGGAACGGCACGAAAGGAATCACACTGGAGAGAAACCGTACATGTGTTCACACTGCGACAAGAGATTCAGTCAGATAGCATCTCTGAAAGCACATGAGAAGATTCACACTGGAGAAAAACCATACACATGTTCACACTGCGACAAGAGATTCAGTCGATTAGGAAATCTGAAAGTGCATGAGAGGATTCACACTGGAGTGAAACCGTACAAGTGTTCACACTGCGACAAGACATTCAGAGAGCCAGGAAATCTGAAAGTGCATGAGAGGATTCACACTGGAGTGAAACCGTACAAGTGTTCACACTGCGACAAGACATTCAGAGAGCCAGGACAACTGAAAGTACATGTGAGGACTCACACTGGAGAGAAACCATACATGTGTTCACACTGCAGCAAGAGATTCAGTCGATTAGATAGTCTGAAAGAACATGAGAGGATTCACACTGGAGAGAAACCGTACATGTGTTCACACTGCGACAAGAGATTCAGTTATTTAGGTTGCCTGAAAGTACATGAGAGGACTCACACAGCAATTTGTTCAAAACGATGTCCTTCAAGATAGAGTAGGGTTTTAACCTCGGCATCCTGGCCAAATTTGCCCCTGGCCCCTGTCAATCATGGCCTCCTAACCATCCTTAGGGCTCAACATTACGGACGCTCGGGACAGTAGACAGTATTGTTTTCTGTGATCTGTGCTGCCTTGTCACAAAAGTTTAATTTAGCAGAGACTATTTGTCAATTTCCTATGAATACTGTCTTAGAATCGAGGAACAGTGTGTAGTTTTAAGTCTTTGAATGCTATCTTCTCTGTGATGTCGTAAACACCATATTGCTTTTCGATTCCTGTGAAAACAGCAAAGTAACGGCGACATCAAATTATGAGGCTAAAAGATTGTCTAAAGGCCTGTGCACACCGAGACGTTTTTTTGCTCACGTTTTCCGTTGACGTTTATCGCTTCGTGACTAAATAAAGTGCGTCAATGTGATCGTGCACACCAACGCCCAAAACACCAGCCGCAAAAGCGTCATTTAAAAAAAAAAAACGCCTCATGCTCGTTTTTTATTTTTTATTTTTACGTGCCACATTTGGAGGCGCTCAAGCGCAAAACTGCACATTGAAGAAGATGCCCAGAGCCGATATGATCTTAGAGCTGCTTATTGCACTGGTGAACAATAATAATTTCTTCATCACTAGAGCTGGAGCTGCTACTTGTACCATCTATGCTTGTTTCAGTCACCAGTAACTTTAACAACTTTAACAACAAGCATGTGAACTTCCTCTCCTCCTCTTCTTCAGTGTTATAAGCGGGTGTCGGAAGTTTAAAGTTGTGTATCGCCATCTAACGTCAAGGAGTAATTGTGCATACTCTTCTGCTTGACGCCAGTGAAAATCGCTTGGGTTTGAATGCAAAAAAAGTCCCGTGAAACGCTGACGATAAACGCAAACGAAAAGCGTCCCGGTGTGTAGGAGCCTTTAGAAGCAGAACAGAGCAGGGGCGCCTGTAGGATTTTACTCCAAGGTACGCACAAATCCAGCACCGCCCACCTCTTCCCCCAATCATGTCAAGAAACATGGATGCTTACTGTCAAAGACATCATTTAAGGGCATTCGTTATGACATAATTCGCTTCCGTTTTAATTTTAATATTTCGTTGAAATCTAAATGTAATAAAAGCACATCGGCGTGAATAATCAGACGGTCAAGACGTAATTTTTAAAATTACGACATATTAAAACAATTGCAAATACATGAGAAAAGATTGTGATACAATACAATTAGTGAAGCGATAATTAAAACCTTACTTTCCACTGACCGAAAATCATCCACCCACACAGTTTAGTAGTAGACGGACTCGAGCAAAAATATAATTTGAATATTTTTCTTGGAAAAAATAGATTTTTTTTTAAATGATTTGGTATATTGTTTGTATCTTTGTTTAAATATTGTTGCTGGTCAGTTATCTGCTAGAACGAATAACATTTGAGGTTAAGAGCTTCAAATTCGCTGAAGAAACACATCAGCATATTGCAGTGTTCAACACGAGCTGAATTTGAAATCTTGGGCATCTCCAAAGTGTCTGTCCTCTACACCAAGGGTCACCAATCTCGGTCCTGGAGGGCCGGTGTCCCTTCAGGGTTTAGCTCCAACTTGCCTCAACACACCTGCCTGGGTGTTTCAAGTATACCTAGTAAGACCTTGATTAGCTCTTTCAGGTTTGTTTGATTAGGGTTGTAGCTAAAATCTGCAGGACACCGGCCCTCCAGGAACAAGTTTGGTGACCCCTGGCTTAAACCATCACAATAACAAAGCACCAATTGATTTGGGGCTATTCTGACCAATTCTTTGGCCACAGATGTTCCGGGTACCCTTCAACGAAATTAGTAAACTATTTAAACCAAACAAAGGGGCTTTACAGGATTTTCAGCGGGGACCGCCTCACGAGACTTTAGAATGACTCCTGGTCATGTGCTCGCCTATAGCACATCCTTATGTACAATTTCGTAAAGACAAAGAGAAATGAATGTATATGAATGAAAGACAAGCTCTTAAAATGTTAGAACTAAGGCAGATGTATCTTTGAGTGATATGCCATAACGTTCTTCATATGTTGTGGTTATTCCAACTAACCTGGTTAATCAATGTGTTGTTTTAACCCTGATAGCAGATTAAAATGATCTGTATGTGTCTGAAATGTATGATGTCGGTTATTGAACGAACGCTAGTGACATTTGCAGTACGTTGGTGTAAATGAAAAACTAGTAGTACAAACTGTATTCGTCTTGTAATGTTTGATGTAAGATAGTTTCAATCCTTTAAGAGTTCTACCACGTTGGTAAGGGGCGTGGCCCCGCCCTTCATGGCAGCTGCTCATTGGCAGACAGTGCCATAGGGATGGATCAGACCACGTCACTTAAAAACGCCCTGCAACAAAGAAACTTTGCTTTTTGCATTAGCTAGCTTGCACATGCTACTGCTCTCTGCACCCTCTCGCCTGTCCGGACACCGCGCCACCATGCAATTGGGTCACCACAAACTTCCTATGCAAACCTCTTAAGTTTCAGGACCGCCGAAACTGCACAAACTTCCACAAACCGACTCTTAGCAGTCCGTTACCTCTGTGACCCCAGGACAACAGCGAGCATGTAAATCCCAAAGATGTCATCGAAACGAGTCACTACCCAATCAGGAGCACCGTGCTTCCCCAAAGCCAGCCCAGAGAGGGAAATTCGACTTCAGCAAGAAGGACGCAAGTAACACAAACTAATGTTGTCTCTTGCTGATCTGGTGCAGAATGATCTTAAGCCGTTAAGGATAAAGCTATATCTCTGCTTTTGTCGTTTCTCAGGTGTGATTCTAAGATCTTGCAAGAAGTATTAGAATTAATTTGAGACGTTGTCAACTCATTTTTTCATCCTCTGAACTGCCTCTGTGTGTGCGTTTGTTTGTTGTTTGCTTATTACGTAGTTCGTTTCATGTATCGTAGTGTAGCTCAATAAATCTGTTCTCATTTTGTAAGAACTGTGTTCTTGTTTATGTGCTTCTAAGTCATTGCCTCGAGCTGTAGATCTTGTTACCTTGCTAAAAGTTGACCCAATACTGTGTTACGTTATTATCGTTGGCCAAGTAAATAATATTAACACGATTGGTAAGATACGATGTCTTCTATTTGCGGGACCAATAAAGTGTGAATCTTTTAATCTGATTGAATCTGACTCAATTGAATCGAACCAATGATTTGAATCTTCAGAATCCGATTCATTGAAGTGAGCTAATAACAGATCACTCACGGCCATCTTCGTTTTGAAGAATCCCCCCTTCCACCCCTACTCCTCCTCCTTTCCTAGATGGGTGGCACGGTGGCCCAGTGGTTAGCACTGTTGCCTCACAGCAAGATCTTCACTGGTTCTAGCCCTTACCAAGCCAGCTAACGTTTCTGTGCGGAGTTTACATGTTCTGCCCGTGCTCACGTAGGTTTCCCCCAGACGCAACTTAAATTAATTGAATAGTCCAAATAGGCACCATAGACATGCTCCTAGTTAGTTATCTCAAGAGCAATCACTGTTCATTAGCTACTACAGCAGGGGAGTTCTCCAGATCTACCTGAGCTCAAACTCCCCTCTCGCCTAGCAAACGGGAGGGAGCCCCAGGCTCGAGGACCTTATGAGCTCAGGGCTGCCTCCCGGGACAGCACGCCAAACAAGCCTTATAATCAATCATCAGCTAAATGTGAACTCTTATAATAATCATGTAAAGCAGGGGTGCCCAATCCTGTTCCTGGTGATCTACCTACCTGCAGAGTTCAGCTGAAACCTTGATCAAACACACCTGTCGGTAATTACCAAGCGCTCCTCCAGATCCTACTTTGTTGGTTTTGTTGTGTTTGATTAGGGTTGGAGCTGAAATCTGTAGTAAGGTAGATCTGCAGGAGCAGGATTGGGCACCCCTGATGCAAAGGATGACAAAAGCAAGCACACAGGTTTGAGCTCATTTCCATTTATTATTGACATAAAGTGCATGTTCATATATCATGATGTTGAGCGTGTGAGATGAATGTGAAGGTGCAGACAGGGCAGGTAAACACTGCGTTACATATAATAAGGTGCAGAAGTACCACAGAAGCAGCAGCTGGAAGAGATTGTACACTACTTTAATGGATTTACTGGGCTTTACTGCTATGGATCACAGTTAATCACTACAAACTGATATCTAACGCAGCCCAGTAGTGGACTAGAGCACTGGTTCTCAACTGGTTTTCCGTCAGGACGACCAAACAAGGGGCTAATTTAGTTTAGTTGTTAAAAACAGTTCTACGCATCTCACACTTAAATGTCTTAAATTGTTCTATAAATTGCTCAAGATCAACAATATGCAAATTGTTAGACACTTCAGATTAGTTTCAAGCAAAGTTCTTTAAAAGGTTTCGAAAAACCATCGGTGCAGTTTAGTCAACCGTGACACTGAATGTTTTCTATTAAGTTCATTTGTACAAAGTGTTTTCAATAAGAGAGCGTTTAGAAATAACCATACTATTGGAATTGTGCAAATTCGAAATGGTCAATAGTCAGGTTTGCATCTAAACGTGAAGCGAATTTTTTCAAAATTTGCATTAACAGAGCAAAATAAGGTGGCGAGGTGGCTGACTGTAGCATTGGTAACCTAGCAACCAAAAATAAACAAGGCCGTCATAATGGAGACGGCTGATTGGTCAAGTTGGTGTAATGTTCGTTACATCAGAGTTTATTTGTCAAGTTGTTTGAGTGGCTAACTGTAGTATTGGTAACCTAGCAACCAACAGTAAACAAGGCAGGCATAGTAAAGACGGCTGATTGGTCATGTTGGTGTAATGTTTGTTAGGTTAGTGTTTATTTGTCAAGTTGTTAGAGAGGCTGACTGTCGGATTGGCAACCAAAAATAAACCAGGCAATTGTAATGGACAATTTAGCCTACCCAATTTACCTGTACTGCATGTCTTTAGACTGTGGGGGAAACCCAAGCACCTGAAGAAAACCCAAGGGAACGCAGGGAGAACATGCAAACTCCACACAGAAACGCCAACTGACTCAGCCGAGGCTCGAACCAGCGACCTTCTTGCTGTGAGGCGACAGCACTACCTACTGCGCCACTGCATTGCATAATCTTTGTTATGTCAGAGTTTATTTGTCAAATGCATGAGCTCTGGGGTTGTTAATTGGTTTATTGAACACAACTGTAGACCTTAATTAACATTTTTAAAACTTATTAAATTGCTAAATTTTGGTCTTTGGGTCATGAACGAAAGGACAAGATCTTGGAGACAAGCGGCCGAAATGAGTTTCCTTTGCAGGGTGGCAGGGCGCACCCTTATGGATAAGGTGAGGAGCTCTGACACCCAGGAGGAGCTCGGGGATAGAGCCGCTGCTCCTCCACATCGAGAAAATTCAGCTGAGGTGGCTCGGGAATCTGTTTCAGGTGCCTCCTGGAAGCCTACCTAGGGAGGTGTTTCTGGCATGTCCCACCCGGAGGAGGCCTCGGGGAAGACCCAGGATGCGCTGGAGGGACTATGTCTCTCGGCTGGCCTGGGAATGCCTCGGGATCACCCCGGAGGAGCTGGAGGAAGTGTCGGGTGAGACTGAAGTCTGGGGTGCTAAGACTGCTGCCCCCGCGACCCGACTCCGGAAAATCGGAAGAAAATGAGTGAATGAATCAATTTAGGTAACGTTGTTATTGCTATTGAACAATGCACTGGCGTCATCTCTATCAAAGAAAAATCACTTTGTATTCACTGTAGTAAATAAAATGACCTTACTGGAGTTTCAGAACTAATAACTTCGTTCTCAAAAAGCGAACGCAAAACAACTTCTCTGCTAGGAGTAGGAGCTCAATCGTGGCAGCCATGATTGGTTCTACTCCGAAGTGCCCTTCAGAAGGCAATATGTGCAATTTGGAGCACGACAATGATGTCATTCGCAATGCTTAATGGGATTGTAGTTGTTTAAAACTAACTAAAAATTTAATTATTTAAATAAGACAGATTATGCAAAAATTACATTCGTATGGGGTTTAAACACAGCCAACCTCTAATGGAAAAATGTTTAAACTTTATTTTATCTTGGGAAACACTTTGACCAGAAGCTGAGAGAAAAGTCATCGGTTGCGGCCCCTCGATTGATTCGGGTAAGCCCTCAATTCAAATGTTTTGGATTGTGACTTAAGAATGGAGACTTTAGCTTTTAACCACTCGTTGTCTTTCTGAAGACTCGAACACGTTAGCAATAAGTTGATTGAGCTGCTGACTAATATCTGTAGCACCGGACACACACTTCACCAATGTGAAGATCATGATCAGCCACCGTGGATTGAATATTATCTAGTTTGGCTGCCAAACTTTCGAAAGACGTGTTAAAGTCTTATCTGAGGCTCTCAAGGCTCTAAGGTCGACATGTAGCGCATGAATCTCGGTTAACGTAACTTCTCTCTAAGCCTTCTCTCTCTTTATCCGCCCCTTCCTTTTGACATTTCAAAAGCGAATTAAGCCACAGAACACTAGATTAACAAATACAGTCAGGTACCAACAAAAGCACTGATGTTAAAAGATAAACGGAAAAGTTCTTTGGGAGTGGACCGCTGGCACGACCACTCCTCAGGCGCCAGAACCGGAAATCCTCCTGCAGAAACACTTTGACATTCTTCATTTGTACATGTAATTAGAGGGGGGAAGCTCTGCCCATTAGTTCCACTCAATATCATAGACAGCCTTGAGTAAGAAGCAGCCGTCTGCCATTGGTGTTTTCATAACGTACCTGCCGAAGGTAAAGTCAGTGCCTTACGATGCACCAATTAACACAGTGGTCTCCATAGCCTACTTCCTTCTTAGCCACTTCTTTTGGCATTTTCAGCATTTCACAGTTTGCCCTATTTTGAATCGGCCACTTTGCTGACAAATTGGCTTTTTAAAAGAGCACTAGGAGCACGATCTCATTTATAATTAAACCGAATCACCAAAACAACACTATACCAATAACTAAACGGGGCAGTATCAAAGAGTTATTAAAAAAACTGTGTCTGTCTTTGAGTTGGAACCTCACATACACACTCGGGACATCAGAGACTTGTTTTACATCTTGTAAAAGGGGAAAGAATAGCTCAGTTTTAATGTTACGATAGCTGGTTGCTTTACTTAAAGCTTTTTCACAAAATCTTCCATCATATAAAAATACTAGCATTTCACATTTTACCCTGCTATAGGTTTTTCCCCCGCTTGCACTCAGTTGAGAACCACTGCTCTAGAGGTCTAGGGTTCCAGCTGTTGTCTCAGGTCCACAGGCACATGCTGGGGCACACGCAGTGGCTCCGGGCCCCGGGCGAGCGGATCACCAGATCCTTCACGATCTCCACCGTCCCGAACAGCGGGAACAGCTTTTCTCCCGGAGTCTCGTTGTAGGTGTAGATGTGGGAGCGGTTCTCCACGTCGTAGAAGGACAGCTGACTCTGGTCGAAATCTAGGTACACCCCTACCTTGCGGGGGATTAGGGTGGCTGGCAGGGAGGTGAACGGCACGGTGAGGGCTTTCAGCTCGGTGCCGCGCTCCAGTCGCAGGGTCAGGTATCCGGTGTCGGTGTTCAGAGACTTAAAGCCCTTCCGTAATGCTGACTCTTTGGCCACGCCAATACGCCAGTCCATTTCTCCCACATCCACCTGCCAGTACTGGCGGCCGGAGCAGAAGCCTTCAGTGCCCACCGCACACCACCAGCCGTCAAAGCGCTGGTGATAATTGGGCACGTCACTGCGCTCGAAACCACAGCGCATGCGCCGCTCGTCCTCCGAGATCAGCAGGTCAGGGTTGGCAGTGTCCAGGTCAAGGGTCACTTCCACTGTCAGGGAACGAATGGAGAGTTCAGACTACTCCTAGTTATTTATGTGCAGAATTTTGTTAAACATCTGCTTATGGTCCCAGCATGTAAACATCTGCGCAGCAAGGATTTTTTAAATAAATGCAGCTTAAGGCTGATGTATACTTCTGCGTCATAAAAACCTCAGTGCCAGCTAGCGTTTCCGAAGTGCTACTGCAGAGCAACACAAACAACGCGCAGAAGTATAAATACACGGCAACGTGCAAGGCATGCGCTGTGGGTCACGCCGATCACTCCATGCAGAAGTATAGAAGTACAGAAGTAACCAGGCTTTAGTGAGAGTTTAAAAGTCTTCTTACCTCCTGCATCACAGATCCAGTCCCACACTAAATAAAACACAAGTTTAAAGAGAGAATTATTATACAATCTATCATTCGACCTCATAACAGTCTGGAAATTCAGATTAAAAGCAAAGCATGAGACTCACCCATGTGAGGAATGTACGGGGCGGCACCTGAAGTAAAAAGAGACCCATTTATAAATACAAATTACTAAAATATCTACAGGGTTCAAACACATTTTTACTACTAAAACGACATTGCCAGGTTTTCTGTGACCGTATGAAGCCTGTGTACATATATATATATATATATATATATATATATATATATATATATATATATATA